GTTCTTCTTCCCCTGAAAGCAGAAACAGTTTTTTTTTTAATTCAAGACCTTTTTTCACGTCGCATCATACCCGAAGTCAATAATAAATTCAGATGAAAATGCTTTATTTTACCTTTAATCTTACTTCCCAAGACCGGATGAGGAGTGTCCGTATCCGCCATATCCTCCACTGGATCCTCCGTATCCACCGTATCCTCCACCGTATCCTCCACCGTATCCTCCACTGGATCCTCCGTATCCTCCACTGGATCCTCCATATCCACTAGAGCTAGAGCCCCCACGGCCCCATCCGCTTCCCATGTTGACGACGACAGTTTTGCGACTTCCAAGCCCGTATCCCATCGATCCGAGTCCGTAACCGTAACTGCTGAGACGGCCGAATCCTCCGTAGGGTCCGATTCCGCTTCCGCTACTGGAGGCCCCGTAAAACGGGTCTCGGATTCCAAACCCCGATGGATTTGCTTCCGATAACACTATGGCCAACAGGACGCCGGATGCCAGCACCTATGCAAAACATGCAGCATCGTGTCAATCACGTACATAATTCAACGTAAGAGTAGTCGAATTAACAGAAATCTTTGGACCAGAAATGCAGCTATTGGCAGTAAGACCCTCAACCTAAAATGCATCATCAAAAGTATCGATCCTGCGTTTTTTGAGTGGTATACGCGTCTGAATGCCCGAAAGCACGAATCTGGCTTTAAAGATCTCGGAAATTGCTTTTTCTAGGCTCAAAATCGAACGACTCGCTGGTGAACACCATAGCTTCTGGGGGATATCCAAAAAGTTTTGCATTTCACATCGGACCAACAGGGAGATGAATAATCTCCCCTCCGTGCATTACCGCTCGTGTAAAGATAGCAAGAAATGAGTTACAGATGGGGAGGAATGAGAACACGCAACCTTCTCAAGGTTATATCCCTACCACATGAAGCTAAACTTCCAAGACGTTTTCTGCTTTTCTGCAATTCCAGTGGAGTCACTTTCACCCCCTCAGGTAAACCGTTTCACATTTCAAAACTCAATGGGGGATGGGAGCGGGGGGTGAACAAAGACTATTGAAAATGATTAGATCTTCAACAAATTGAGCAGAGGACCTGGTAGGATCTGAATCTGAACGAGTGAGAGATTCCATCCGTAGTTTCATCAACGATTTTCAAGTAAAGAATTTTCCCACTTACGTTATCGGTAAGTACCTTCTAACTCCGTCACCAAACTTCGAGGCAAGGCATTATTTTTATAACTTTAGCATTCTTTAAAATTCACTCCGTTGTTTTCTCTTGTCGATAGAGACTGTTGATTTAAAAAAATGATAGTATGGGAGCAAGCCCATTTGGAAGATGCAATGCTATCGATGGAATTCAGACTCACCAGAAACTTCATGGTCAGCGACTCGGAGGAGAGAGACACCACTCAACTCAATGTAGAAGGAGAAAAAAACTGAACAGAAATCCTGGGGACATCTCCACATATAATCTCCTGACTTCCGTAATCCATCCGGTTTGTGATGCGAACTACCACCTTTACCTCATCCGATCAACTTTCTCTTCTCTTTCCCTGGCTCTTTCTAATGATCGTCAAGGAGGATTAGAATATTCCAAGGAAAGAAGTATTAACAGACTCAAGATGTTTGCGCAAACTATATAACAGGAAAAAGATAGAGAAAGTGGCAGATTGTCTTTGATTTTCTTTCTTTTTTCCTACCATATCCTCAATACTTTTGTGCGTGCGTTAAATATTCTCCATGAACCGTCCCGGTTGTGAACGCCTTTTTTTGCTTTAGAGGAGAGAGAGAGAGATTGCATGTAGTCTCATCGCGTCTGTCTTGGAGGAAGGAAGGAGCGGAATATAATCGGAGTGGATAGGAGTCACGCTATGAGGAGGCGAGAGTCTCGTGGGAAAATTGAAAGTACTGTCACTTTTTCCGCCCAGAACCCGTCAATTTACCCCCGTTTTCACGCACACCCTAACGACCAATCAAATGTTCTCGCATGTCACGGACGTGTTTTATTCTACAATGGACATGGCAATCCTCGCTCGTTCTCTACATCCTCCCTCGACGAAAGAAAACACAGACCGAGACTCCAATTTTGATGGAGTTTCCTCCCTTTCTTCATGTGAATTTTTTTCCATTTTTTGTTCCTCCGTTCTCAAGAGCCATTTTTCTTTTCGAGATCATCAATTTCACCCGAGGTCCATCGCAGGAGGACCATTTGTAGCAGTGTGAGGAGGGTATAACAGATGGATTCGGACGGAGCACTGAAGCGAAGGGGGATTTCCCTTGAGAAAATATATCTCTCGAGACATTAGACGCCCGAATGATCTTCTAAATAAGTACTTGGATTCTAGTACTCACATCCTATCCATCATTCTCGGTCTTTCCTTTGACTTGCACTCCTTTGGTATTCCGATATTTCCCCTGCACCACGTTGGTTCGTGATGAGCTTCATTTTTTCCTTTAGGACAAAGCTTGTACTTTGTGTTATTGTCTACCTTTGCCAACTTTAACAGCCCGAAGTTGCATGCACTATAAGTTGAGACATAAAACTCACCGATGCCGCGTTTGCCGTGATGCATGGATACCCTCGATTGATTTCCCGTCTCGACTCCATCTGTACTGGCCAGACAAACCGAACAGGAATACGTGCGAAAAACAGAAGGGGAGGTCGGACCTCTAATATGAAGCTGGGTCAAGTGGTCCGTGATTTCCTTCCCCCCTCGCTTAGAAAAACCGCAGTTATTAATGACTGCCTCTATGACGAGACCGCATCGGTGGATTAAATAACTGCGGTTTGATTCGGCGGGTAACCACAGACACGATTCTGTGACGACCAAAAGGAGCAGGGGTCTTCTCCATCTCTCCTCCACGATCTATACGCTATTAAGAACGAGAATAATAGACGATTGTTGTCATATCTCTGTCCGGAGGGGGGAAAAAAGGAGCAGCAAAAAATTCCCGGAGATTCACACGCTCCCGCTCTAAAAGCCTATACAGGGCCGACAGGAAGAGGAAAGAAAAAAATCCAGTCGGTTCGCTGATCAGTGGAAGGATAATGATAGTGGGATTATGGGGGGGAAAGGGAAGGTGGCATCCGTGGCTTTGTGGATTTTTCTCACCCGGCCTACACGTTCATTCTCGGTCCGCGCATAACTTGTTTCGTTGCTGCCGATATTGTGCATATGGGGGAGTGGGCGGGGCCAGGGACCTCGAGACTATCTGTGATAGGCGGAGGGATCCGGTTGCGCATGCGCGCTCCTGTGTCCACTGACTCACCCCCATTCCTCGGCCTCCCCCACAGGTGGAGGGATTGTTGACCACATGTGGTGTACCACAACGCCCTCGCTCGTGGTGGTGGTCGGTCCTCGATGTTGCGGTGTTGGTGGTGTTTTTATACAACAGTCCAGAGGTGTGGGGGGAAAAAGGTGGCTTCGGGTGGGGTGGAGGTGCATGCCCTCCCGCGGGGGTAATCGTGGTTGACCAACGTGGTTTCGCATTGGTTTCAGCACTATTGTCTCTTATCGTACGGCACGCGCCTTTCCGACGATTCTCGTTTAAGCATATCGTTGCACACATCTGTAACATACAGATGGAAGCCAATTGGTAAAAGTCATGTACACCATGTGTGGTGCGAGTACGAGGTGCCGTCAGTATGAGCATCGAGTAAGCATGTGGAAGGAATAGTAAGACAGACGAGACCGTTTCGTTCATTCCTATTTCCACGCGAATCCCTTCACTTCAAGTGCTAGAATTACTAAGTTTATCACAATCTGATAACTCTTGGCGGAGTCGTATGCATCGGTGCCTCGAGAAGACTGGAAAATGGCAGACCCCAGGAGATGGCGAGAGTCTGAGTGATTCCTACCGATGGCATTATATACGTTCCCAAAGCGAGTTTTATTATTTGACTTGTGAAAGGTGTACACTTAATGGCCGGCTTCCCGGTGACTCATGGCCGTTAGAAAATCGGATGTACATGTATGTTCTAAGGGGAAATCACTGTAATTCTCTGCATGCCTGGGGCCTATTTTTCAGAGTGCCAATCAAGAAGACTGCGCCAAGAATGACCAGAATTGAGTTGAACGTTAGTGTTCTTGCAAAGGGAGAAGGGTGAAGGGAATTGCGTCCAAATGTAGAGGAAACAACCCCGGTTCATCTGCCTTATACTTCCTCCCGCGAATTATAAATGTGTTTACATTGATTGTCCCTCGTAACACATGTCACGTAATACACTGAACTCGTTGATTCTTCCTGATCCATCAATGAAAGCCATAGCAGTCTCTCCGATTAACGAATGCGCAGATTCTTGCGATAAACTCAAGATAAGGTTCCTCTCGAATCGTCTCCCGTTATTATAGGTTCTAAGGGCTTTCGAGGTGAATGATAGGAGTCATATTTTGGCAATGAATGTGATACAGGAAAAGGGGAGTGAGAGAAAGAGGGGCAACAATGAATGAGATGGGGGAAGGCACGTAGGAAATTCCAATGCTGTCGATTCACAGCCGGAATTCTGAGAAATGCGGAGGGGTGAAGGCCAGAGGTCCGGATGCTGTTAGGAATACTACACCGCCTTTCTTTACGGCTCTGGCCTGTTTTTTTTTCCACGTTCCTTTTTCTTTCCATTGAAAAAGAAGTTCCGTCTTATCATCATTTGATGGGTCGCCGAAAGGAGTGATCAACGATTCGTAAACTCTAGCCATTCTGAGGTTCTCAAAGTGGTGTAGCATTGCTCTTCGTTTCATGCCATTTGCATGATTGAGGAACGATAGGAGTAATGTGGAATTCCAACCGCCATAATTTCACCAGCGAAAAAGAGAGAAATAGCATCCGTAATCGCTTCGCTTAGCAAAACTATTGCTTTTTTTTCAAATTTCGAAACATCGAAAATACAAGCCAACTATGTAAACGACCACGCCAGTAATAAGGCGACGATAGAATCTTACAGATTATGGAGTGATTGTGCTTGAATACATTTATGTAGTGAACGGTGATAATTCATTGGTTGCAGATCGGCTAGTGTTCACAGCCGGAGAGTGCAGAGCTCGGAATTTGTGATCCCAATTCAGGGTTCGATGCCTGCTGAATGGACAGAATCGGGAGTGAAGGACCGGATGAAACAACAGTCCCCATGCACGTGCTACCCGACACGCCCTTGAGACTCCCTTCGTTTCTGGATCCTCCTCTTCCTCTTAACATCGACACGAAAGGGGAAAGTGATAGGAATAATAACAACAGGATGAGTGGGTTGGGTGTGGGGATCGCAGGGGGAGTAGGAGGGTCGGGACCTCCTCCCCTACCCCCCACGGCGCCGCCCCTCTTCGAATCTCCAGGTGAATATATTCAGCAGGAGATACCTGGGGAACTTGTCCCTACCGCCAGTCCCAACATCTTATGCTCCAAACTACCTACTCATTGGCGGTGAGTCCATCCCTAAATATGCAGATAATTCAGGCTTCATTTCTTTCTCAAACACTTACCCCTCAGAGGTCAGAAGGATCTAATGACACTGCGCGCCACGTCCTTTCCCACTGGCACGGCGAACTCGTCAATTGTCATCTACATCGGTTTAGATTTGAGCATGGTTAAATTTCGATGTTCGTTATTGCAATATCGGCTAAGAGGAAATGTATGAGAAATCGATCGTTATGCAAGCCTCCAGCCTCTCCAAGTAAAGAAAAAGATTATGGGAAAACATGGCGTGGTGGCGATTGAGATGTTCTCCGGTACATGCGTGCATGTGGACTTCTGGACGAGACGTGTCAGGAAGGGAAAATAAGAACCGTGGAAAAAGAGATTGGGGGTATAGACGCAGGGGGTGATTATGGATTAAAAGTGTGGCTCCCCAACACTCATGTATAAACACACACTCGGGGACACGATAGATTACATACTGTCCGGGTTTCTCACTGGGGAAATGACCGGAAATAGAGTCTTCTCGCGAGGAGGGGAAAAAAAAACTTTACGTGACTTCGATTACTGGGTTGCTCCAGACAAATACCCTGCAAGATAAAAAAAAAGCAACGGAACCTCAGGAAGAAACGTAAAAGTTCCTACGATAAAAAGAGCAGTTCCCCATGCTGGTTTCTTTTTTGCCGCCTTGACTGCTTTTTCTCCAGCACGCGTATTTTCCCTATAACAATTTTTTAAATACTAAATATGCAGGAATCTTACACCACATTTAGGTTCATTTCATTCATCCTCTTCGTTGTCCTTTGCTCAATCTTTCAGGTGTTCAAGCTTTCAAGACATATTATAAGCCTTATTCTGTAGTTAGCGGAGTGCGCGTATAGTAACCCTCAGCAATGCAATTTCCCTCCCTCGTAACCCTCTTTCCATGATCTCAAAATCGGTATACACTCTTTGCCGAAATAATCGAGTCCTCGATTTTTCTACGATTACAATCTGGTACTTCTGTGCAGGTACGTGATTGGAGATTTTCTGGTTGCGCTTTGTCTGGTGATAGAGCGTGCAAACCGATCGATAGTAATATATATATATATACAGGGTTGTGCAAAAGTTCCCATACACTTCGATTAGCGCTTCGATTCTCCTTAGGCGTCATAGCTCCAGAGAAAAAAATTCAAATTAAGACTGAAATTTACTATAATGAAAACATTTTACATAAAAAACGTCCGTATAATTAAACAAAAAAAAACACATCCGAATCGCCAAAAATCCGTTGATTAGTGAAAAATTAGATTTTCAAAGTGTACGGGAACTTTTGCACGACCCTGTATATATATATATATATATATATATATATTTGGGAGACTGGATAGACGCTGAGGTTGTGTTTTCTTTAAGTCTCAAGCACTGATTTATCACCGAATGTATTGAGAATTACTTATACTCAATGAGCAAACCAACCAAGAGCAAAGTTTTGCAAGGGAATTTGCACGGATGAGATAACGTTGCACTTTCCTTAAGGCGGAAGAATACCTCATGAGGGTCTACGGAACGTAGCTTGCACTAGCAGGATTCAATTCGACAGACTGACAGAATTTTGGAATCGATTTGGACAAATTAGATATTTCCAATCACCTCGTGAGGCAAATACCGAGTCGTCTCTAAAAAAAAAGGTGTTGCGCTTGGGATTACTTCATGTTGAACATGCACTTGAAGTACTAACAAGTACTTCCAATTACAGTATATAGTTTTCCTGATATCCTTAAGTAAAAGACTATTGAATCGATTTCGACATTGAGTCATTCATTTCTTGATTTTCAAGACCGTCCATCCCAACTTGTCGGGGTCGCAGTTGAAGCAGGCCTCGGAGAGTCCTTATATAGTATCTAGGTGGGACAACGGACTCGAACTTGGCAAGAAGATTGTGGATTATCTCGCAACAGAGCTTCGCAACATGATCCCTTCACCTTGTGAGAAGTCTGCATACTGAAGACCGGTCATCTGCCGGTTATCCTGGGCCGAGAAACTCTTTTTGAAAATCTCTCGTTGGGTATGCGGTAACCTTGTCCTAAACACCGAAATTGAGATGTCTCGATCCGAAATGGATGCTCGACCTCGTGGCTGAGACGGATGTGGGCACTCCGCATCCTATCGCTACACGCATGACAACGGCCACCCGATGCAAGAACCTCGGTTCGATGGCTTGTATCCAAGACTCTATTCTTTTGGGCAATACCGAGAGTTCACGATCATCGTTGACAGTTGCGAGGTAAACGCTCCGAAAAGCTGAGAGTTTGACTTCCTCGAAAATGTTCGATTTGGCCTTGATATGCGAGACTCGATCTCGTTTTCAAATCACTCGTCTATCGAGAATCAGAGTCCGAGATGCGTCAATTTCTTCACCTATTCGAGGGTGTATCTCCTGATTCGTTGGGCTCACTGCACAGGATTTCTCGAGAGAACCATGACCTGGGTTTAGGGATTCCGACTTTGATTCCAGTTGCAGTTGATTTCGAAGTCGAACCGATCTGTTACGCTCTCAGCCTCCTGTCTAGACTGTGCCAGGAGAACGGTATCGTCGATAAAGAGTAGAATCTTTCCCATGGCACTACCGATATTGCTTCCTTTCAGATCCAGGCTACTCCTACAAATCCTGCCCACATAAAGGGCGATTGAAAGGATCTGGGACTGTAACTTCTTTGTTGTTTGCTGTACAGGTTTCACTTCTCGCAAATATCCGCGTTGCGTTGGATCTTGGAGGTGCAGGGGGAAATTAATTTGCGAATTGACGCTCATTTGATTTTTTTTCTTAGAATTTATTTTGAATTGACTCTAACGCGCTTGACGAAAGTGTATGAGGAATTCTTGAACCACCTTGAAATTCGGAGTGCGTTAAAATGTTGTACGGAAGTGGGCAAATGTGCCTCGTCCCTGGAGCCTTGAAGCCCGTTCGAGTGGCCCAAACAATGCACACAAGTAATACCTTAAACTAGAGTTAATTTATTTAAATGTATAGAAGATGAAAAGAGAGATCAAGTATCACTTTCTGTATTCTCTCTGAAGAATTTCCTGCACTTTTGCTCCTTTCCTCTTCCCTCTACCCGACCTTGGGACGTTCCTGATGACGTGTCTTTTTTATTATCATACTGTTTGTATCTGTCTAACACCATGTATCAGCTTGGAGCTTCAGAAGTGACTAACAAAATAACTCACACCTTAGCACAGTTCCCCCCCAAATTTATGGCATTCTGAATTTCAAAATTGGTTTCATTTGATCCCTCTTCATTTACGCCAAACATGACAGGGAGAACAAAGGGGAAAATCCAATGAAAACCAATAAGTAATAAATTTTGAACATGCACCCCAAAGTCCCGACACAAAATACTTACGAGAGCTGACATCGGCACGCAAAAGGATAGGGAAGTTACAGGGTCAGTCCCGGAGCTTTTTTTTTTTCTCGCCTTGAATAGGATGAACAGAAAAGGAGAGAGAACGGAACTCTGGCGAAACGCGCCAGGGTTGCAATAATCGATTTCGAGAAGGGAGGTACCGACGGACTCGTTTCGTCCCAGGGGTATGCCTTCTGGGTATTCTCAGTCGTGAGTGGATAGTAACTGCAGTATGTCTACTGAAAATCAATTGTATAATGGACAGTAGAGAGTTTGAATCTTACTAATGAACTGTTATAGTGAATAGTGATAATTGAGTATGGACTCATCCTAACTCATGGATTATCAGGTGGGAGAGGACTTTTCCGTTTCATTCCTGTAGTTCTTCCAAACTGAAGATCTCTACCTAACTTTATTAAAAATAAAAGATAAAAAATGCGAACATTCAAATCCTATGGGTTCATAGGAGTAAGTAATGAGAGTAAGAATCGCGTGGTAACACGTCTCTGAATGCAAGAACGCCCGACTACAATGCATAAATATACCTGTGAAAACATTAATCACCTGTATATAGAGGCGTTCGAGGGCTTTAAGATGTGAATATGGTTCCTACGGACACGGGATTAAAGTCAGAGAGTTGAATCCCCTCGAAGCGATTCTCACTTCAACCTCACTTTCCTCATCGTGCACCCCTTGCCGTACATGTGTTTAAGGAAGATGTAAAAATTGTCGTCATGGCGTCGACATCTAAATCTGATTAAAGGATCCATATTCATGATATGACGCTTTTCCCGCATTCACGAACATGTCTAAAACATAAGGCATTCTTAAATCACAGGAAACTCAGGTGATTGCGATGCGGAGTGCAATCCGAGTAGGATTTGCTTCTCCGAGATCCCACAACTGGTTGCTTTTCGATGCCACAAAGCATTTACGATGCCACAAAGTTTTTTCGCAGTTTAAAATGTTAAAGTATTTATTCCCAGACAACGTGATTTATCCAGGTGCTTCATACGCTCTGGAGTCGTGTTTCTTTGGTTTTAAGGGCGAGATCACAGCCTGTACTGGGAGCTGAGAAGGCTATAGCCAAAACGCCCCACCGCTTGGACCTTTCATGTCCATCGGTATCTTGTTTTTTCATCTTGGTTTTCTACTCATTTCTATCCAAATTAATTGGATTTTTAAATTGAAAAACCTCGGTACACCAAAACAGGAAACTCCTCATGTCCATCGATACCTTCGATTTGTCTTTTTGACTTTTTTTTCCTGACAATGCTTCGAGTAAATAATTTTCAGTTCATTAATGTGGTACTAATATATTAGACTCCATAAGACACACCACCAGGACAAAGCGAGTGTAACGACGTTCATTTCTATTATCTTTTTTTTTAAATAACTGTCTGTGCGTGAGTTTCAGATTTTTTTTTAGCACTTTCGGTATTAAATTAGCTTATAATAATCCAAAAAGACTCACCACATCGAATCGAATATTTCTGTTAGTCATGTCAAAATAGATTAGTTTTTGCTCTACGTTTTGGGTATGAAGTCCTTTTGCCACTTTTAGTACAAAGTCTGCACTGTAGATCCCAAACAGTTGCACTAAGGTCTCGAGACAAGGCTAGCGGTTCATAATGTATCTAGGTCTGTCTTGTTGATTTTGCTCTCGATTTGTTGGAATATTTTAGATATGAAGTACTTTTTCAGACTTTCCCTCGTAGGTCACTCTTTGAACCCTAAAAAAGAAAACACTCGACAGAATTCGATATAGGTATTTTGCTTGTACGTATTTTAAGTACTTGATCAGCGCCTTAGATTTCAGGAAGGCATTCTGCAGCTTGAAAAGGTGTCCAGTGTCCAGTACCTGATTTGCTAAAATCGGTTCGGTAGTTTTCGTTCCAGTTCGGTATGTGTGCACGCTTGCCGAAACACGAACATCCCCAACTACTTACTTTCCGATCCCCGATGGTTTTGGACCCAAGCGGAGGAAACTTTGCGAACTTGGGAGTTCCTGGCTAAGAAGGAAGCAGAGAGTTTTTGGAGTTCGTCTATTGAGGGTGTTGGAAGTGTTGGAATCATGTACTGCAAAGTGTCAATCGGCTCAGGATTCTTTCTAAAAGGTGCTATCGTGCCTTGTAAACCTCCGCTGTATGAACCTATCGTGGAAGTAGTGACTTCGCAAGCGATCTTTACTCCTCCATGTCTTGTTTCTCTGCCTTAGTGACCGTCACCCCTCACGATGATTTTTATTTTTTTTTTTTACGAAGGGTTTTCGGGTTTCAATCTGTCGAATGATGGTGCTTTTCTCGATCGCGACGATTACGAATGTCTTATGTCTTCCCGCCGGTCCGATTGAAACTCGAGATCAAAGGTTCCTCTTTCCCAACCGATTTCTGCCCACCAACAGCACTCAAACGACACTTAACTACACTGAAAACACCAAAGGCATACCTCATTCGAGCTATACATTGGATACTTCCTCTTTTTTTCGCAAACGTCTCGTGCAATGTCATGGAGATAATTGGCTTTCGGATGGGCATGGATGCTTTATGTTGCCCTGCGGATGTATATACGGTACATAAAATTATATCAACATGTGTACTGTATCTCAAATGATTGGACACGAGTTTCTCATAATTGTCCATCTTTTGGTAGTATGACAGAAAAAGCCCCACGATTTTCAAACGCTATATCTCTACTCTGACGGAAGTTATTTTCCGGAACTTGCACTGAACTTGGGGTGATATACTCCCAGAAGATTTGTGACATTTCATTCGAATTCATCGGGCAGAGACAAAGACATGATAGATTACTTATAAGAAGCTTGAAGTTGAAAATGGCCAATGTTGGGTATTGGTAATCGAGTGGCTCTCGAATGGACTCGACTCCCTAGCTCTACCGTTAGTGAATCGTCCACATCCAAATTATATTCCATTATATGTCATAATTTTGTTGCAGATGGTTTTAATATGCCTTTTTTATTATTAATATTTTACATCAATTGGTATCGTTGTGGAAGTGTTTAAGTTTCTTCGAATTTTCCTCTCATTTACGTTGGAGGAGGCAAGCGGAGTCAAGTCACTCTGAAGACGATGGAGTTTCTTTCCATTTTCAATATTCCATTTCTTTTCAATCAGTCTTGCTTCGACAAAACGAATTTGGATGGGATTTTAGAAATCTATCAGGAAAATTGGAATCCATGAACAGGGCTAATTTCGCGAAAGAAAGTAGTTCCAGCAAAAGCAGAGATAAATTAAGTCAACAGTCGGATTTTGTCATGCACTTCGAAATTGATGTCGGACGAATGGTTCGACGATCATGATATTTTAGTGACTTCCTGCATTTCAAATTTAAGGGACGTCCATTAAGTTTTCTCCGAACGTCCACGGAGCTTCGATCGAACCTTTTCTGGTGTATGATGAATCAGGCCGACTTTGTGCGCCAACAGGATGAACAAGACTCTGCCGGGAGCATTCAAGGTCGTGGTGTTGAGCGAGGTGACCGACGGGACGCAGGTGACGGTGAGGGCGGGGAACGATGAGAATCTCTGCGCGGATCTTCGCAATGCCACCGCCGTCCTCAAGAACCAGGTGGCCAAGTTCAACGACCTTCGATTTGTCGGAAGATCCGGACGCGGTGAGTGACAAAAGCAAAATATGAGCATAAACTGCATGCCCACGACATGTCAAGTAGCGGGGGAAAAAAAATAACCCGAGAAGTTGACGAGAAGCGAAAAGATGCAAGAAAATGAATATACATATTAAAGATACGTATAGGAACAATGAACGTCGAGTTGCCTTTTATGCATTGTTAGAAAAATATTTGTGGATGTTTTACTATCCTTCGCAAACGGTTGCAAAATGCTCGAAAGCAACATCACAATTTTTCTCGTCTTGTATCTAAATCACTCACGTAGGGCAATCAGTCGTACACATGATCGCTAGTACGAGCTTGTGCTGCAATCGTCATTCGTCAGCAGAGTAGATGAAATTACGGACTGTGGCGGTAATGGGGGGAGAAGAATTGTGCAAGGGGGGAGGGTGCAGACTGGAAGTGAAGGGAAAAGAAACACGTTCAAGCGTGTCAAATGGAGATGGAGATGGAGAGAGGGAAAGAAAAAAACCTCTTTTCTCTCGGCGTTAGAAAATGCCTCGTGGGCTGGGAAAAAAATAGCAGGTCATTTGTCTGCCTTCGATTCCCGCCGATATTGGGCGGATGGAGGAAAAAAAAGAAAATCTGTCTGGGTCCTCACCCTTTTCCGCTCTATGCCGGCTACCTGAATGCAATTCGTCTGTAGTCTCTTCCGCTATCAAACCTATCACAACTGCAAAATCGTTTCCCCTTTTTGCAATTCGAAAGTCCCACACGGACCATAATTAGTTTGTGCCTGCAATGTCCCTACAATCCAATGTCCCTACAATCCAAATCCACATTGAAGTTCGTGAATCGGCGAACGCGAAGTCTCCATGTTTAGAGGGAAGTGCCTTTCCCGGCTCTTCCGTCTCTCCCAGCATCTTCAAGTCAAAACCAGAGCTCTGTTTTGTCCGTCTTCGGCGACTACTGTTTTTCGAAAATTTTCGAAAGCTACGCAAGTGACACGTACAATAAAGGTCCCTGCTTGGCTGGCATCGAGGGATTTCTCGGGAAAGTTCCAACTCGGTTTCGAAATCTTCGTGCCTGATCTCGAACTTTCGGAATCGAATGCCTTGCCTCTGCTACATACCAGTAGAGAAGACGTATATTTGCTCGAGGAATTTTTTTTCCAACTCGACCCCGCACGAAAGATGAAGTCATTCTCTCGTGGCGTCAGAACCAGGCACATAATCTTTTTTGACAAAGGACATCCTCAGACTGCACATGTGACCCCGATCTGGAGGCCATCCAAATCCTGTTAGTGACGCACTTCCTCTTAATGCATCTTGTTTCCTTCCTTCCTTCCCTTTCCAGACCACATCCTTGCGACGATGGGGATGACGCATTTGCAACAAAAAATAGATAGAGAAAACTCGGATGATTCACACGGTGGATCAATCGATCATCGGCGTGCCCCGACAATTAACCCGAGGTCATTAGGGAAACAATCAGATCCACGGTTAATGGTCGCCATTCATGTTCGGATCACGTGTCCCACTCTCATCATGCGTGGGCCTTTCTCAATGTTCCATACGTCACGTCATCTCCTCGTCATGAGAAGGGGGGAAGAAAAAATACCGTGAATATTGATGGTATGTGATGGGATGTGCAGGGAAGAGCCTGAATTTGACGATCACGGTCCAGTCCAGCCCGGTGCAAGTTGCGACCTACCTCAAGGCCATCAAGGTCACCGTCGACGGGCCCAGAGAACCTCGCTCCAAGACTCGTGAGTATTTAGACCTAAGCACTCGTATCGTAATCGATCTCGATGAAAATACGTGCTTTTTCGAAATTTTCCGAATAGCTCATATCCATCAATTTAATCCTTATTTTCATTTTCTCATAACTGTGGAATGTCGTTCGGAAGGGTGCCGGAGGCTTTCGCGAGGATGGGATTGCGTAAAGGAGTTAGGAAGACTACTATGAATTTATGATTTATCATAATGGACGCTATCCGATGGGTGATGATATATATAGGAGTGGGATGGCGTGATCCAGAGTCACACATTCACGGGACGAGAGAGAGAAAGTCGTGAAACATGGCTACCGGTATGTATAAATAAGGTGGGAGAGACTTAATTACCGTCATCAGTGCCCCCCTCCGCACGCAATTAGCTTCATTAGCGACCCCTGCTTCGCGAAGGGTCGGTCGAGCAACAGTATATGCTCGCGGTAGAAATCGGCCGCGAATTCGATCGTCGTTTGCTTCCGATGAGTTCGCCCGATGTGGATTTTTTATATGGTAGGATTTCTCTCGCATGCACCCAATGGCCGAGTGATTGACTGCTCCAACATAAAAGAAGTGTAGACCGGAAACGGGGGAAAAGACCGGCCGACACGCAATGACGCCCCATGACGTCTCCATCTGAAAAACCCCGTATAGCCATGCAGGCAATTTTATTTTTCTAGGCCAGCCGAAACGCATCTACTACGCGCTATGAATCCGTCATTAATAGACTATTGTTGAGCTAACCGCGGTTAGGGGGTTCTGGTCAACCAACGTGTAATTGCGGCACTGGGGTTGGGGTTTTCCTTCCTTTTCAGGGTGGTCCAAATTAAAGAAGGAATTAAAGAAAAGAGGTGAGCAGATTCCGCAGGACCGCTGCAGTCTCATCGATTTTTTTTAAGTACGAAACCGTTTGCACGTGCATGGAGATTCTGCACGTGTATAGTGATAGGTTCAAGTTGAGAATGATGCAGGATCGTCATGTGGTCGGGGGACAGCGCACCATAAAAGTCGCCGTTTAGATGCACCATAAAGTGATTGAGGAAATCGTCACCAAATGATCGATTCTTCTGTTTCGATTGTTTTATGGCTGGGAGGGGAAAAAGACGGCTATAAAAAGACGGTTTGATTGCTTCCACATGTGACAAGGGCATTTCCCCCTCCATATAAAATGCACCATCATCCAAGCCTGCATGTTTTTTTTTTTATACTCCATTTCCAATTGGGAGAGTCGAAAGCGAATAGGATCACTAAAAAGTTAGTTCTAGGGAATTTAATGAAAACTACGCTTTTTTGCAACTATAAGATAATTTTGCATCTTTTTTTCGGTCGTTAGGTCAGCAGCAGCAGTGTCGGGCATTTGTGTTCGGTCAGCGACCTTTCTTGGATCCCCTGCGTGACCTTGATCCCTTTCGACGGAAGGCCGAGCCTTCGTTGACCTTCAAGGTCCCTCAGCCTCCTCCACCTCCACCCACTCTCTCAGGTGGGAAAAAGAAAGGGGCGCGAAGATCCTTTAAGAAAGAGGTTTAGAGTCTCATTTGTTGAGACGATCGGTGTTGATAGAGCTCGATGGATGATGGATGGCTTTTCTCACGCTTCATCATCACTCTACCTAATGTCTATCGGGTTCAATGTCAACGGTTCACTTGAAATGGCCTTCGAGATGACTCGTGAGAAAACAGAGCCTCTCCCTTCGCTGTCATTACTTGCTTCACTCAACCTATCCCCTCCTGTCCACAAGTTCCACCTCTAGTCCCAACTCATGCCACTTTTTCACCACGACTTTTAATCCAATTTAGAACTCGGTAATTATCCGCACGTATGGCGCTCCTTTTTTTCCTTCTGAATTTTTTCCAATTTTCGAAAGAATCCATTGGGCTCTTTTCACCTTCTCATTTTTACGCAACCTAATGGTAGATCGACTGTATATTGTGTGCGATTCTAGAATATTGTCGAAATGAGTCTGTACTGTCTTAACATCTTTTGCATTATTTACGTTCTAATGTTATATTTTACTGTTGCTTACTTTTGTCGCTAATAGTTCTATACCTTCTGAACCCTTTCAAATATAGACGCTGGAATCACCTTTCTTAAATCTTCTAGAGCAGAATTCACAACACGGAATCAAAATGACCAGAATCACAATTCAAAGCATTGATAAGCCTCTTTTCCATTCTATTCATCCTTTGGCACCTTCGTACATTGCGATTTTTCCCGGAATCCCAATTTCAAGTGTTTGTCAATTGTGGATCCATGAATGGAACACGCATTTACTTGGTTGGTATAGTCCTCCTGATATTTCGTTTCAAAATTAACTTTGTTAATATTCATGTATTTGACAGAGACGGGTATCGGGACAGGGGGTGGACTGGGACTGAGTCCAGGAGGAACGATGGGAGGAGAAGGGGGGAACTGGGCCACCCCGTTTCCTCACCACCATTCTCATCATCACCATCATCCTCATCCACATCTCCATCCTCACCAGATGTCCCCACCCTCACCTTCACCCTACTACCCTGCCCCAACCGACTACCACCCCTCGTCCGCCTCCCCCCTCATCGATCCCGTCCACTATCTCCCCACAGCCGGTGAGTCCACTAATTCCCTTTCTCTCGATCACTCTCTCCCTCTCTTTCCCTTTATTTCTCTGTTGAGTGACAGATGTCTCTCCTTTGAAGTATTTTGCGGTCTCCCCGGGAATGGGGCTTGATGATGAAATTACGCGCCCATTAGAACCGATCAGCAATTTTTCTTCTCTCCCTAGTCTAGTCTTCTCTTTTCTTTCTTTCCATGCTGCTCAAACAGTGCTTCTCTTTGCTCGACACCTCCAGCTCTGTAAGTCTTCCTTGTCGTTGCGGGCAATCATGCAAATTGTTTTTGAAATGCATTGCATGATAATATATTTTTAAAGTATTATATTCGTTTCCCAAGAAAATACATTTCAGAATGAATTTTCAACAATACATTCACTTTTTATGCATTCGTCCTTTTAAAGCTAAAAAAAAATATCTTAAAACACTACCAAAACTTTTCGCAAATAAGTAAGCTCTCTGACAAAATCTATTGAATCGGCTGACTGCAGGGTTGTCGGAGCACTGCGCGACGGAGTTCGCCCATGGTGGGAGTGCATTCTCGAAACCGGGTGAATATCCCGGTTGCAACGCGATGGATCCGTTCAACAAGAACGGAGATTCCTCGTCTAAGTCTCTCCTCTATACGGCGGACCCCGGGACGGGATGTAACGGGATGCAGGCAGGCTCCACCACGCCTGGTTTCGTGCCTCAAACTCCCGCCACCACGGCCACCACCACGTCCGCCTTCCTCGGACATTCTTATTATGGAGCCCCTTCGACCAACTCCTATCTGAACCCTTCACCGATGCTCCAATCCAGTTTTCTCTATCCTCATCTCTACAGTTTTAACCAGATACCGCCTACCCCGGTGACCGAAGTGAAAGCGGAGCCCTTAGATGGGAATCTGTCCCAAGGCCTCTCCACCATGCTGCAACAGGAGAATCCGTCTGAGGAATCGGCGTCGAATCAACCAAGTGATTCCGCGTCTTCGTTGCAACACGTGTCACCCTATGAGACGACATCGACATCGACTCGAACCGAGAGTTCACCCGATGCCCCGGTCTGGAGACCGTATTGAAAAACCTCTGATACTCCATATCATCTCTCATTATGGCTAGGTCTAGTATTAAAAAGTATTTATTGCCCGACACATCTCGTCTCCACAATTCTCTGGGGGGTTTCCCCCCTGTTTCTTTCCTTTTCGTTTTCCACGAGGCAGACATAACCAAGGTGTTTATTCCGGTAACCAGGGGGTCTGCAATCTCCATACTTCCTCTCTTTCCGTTGCCCAAGGCTATGCTACGAAGGGCCCCTGGCTAAATTAAGTTCACGGATCCCGTCAAGCCTTGGAAAAAAAAAGTCGTCATGTGGGACACAGGGGTGCATGGATGGATGGTTGTCAACCACGGATTGACAACCAACCGGTCGACGAGGATGACCTGATACGCATCATTGAATCTCTGTGGTTTCCTTTTTTTTCCTTGCCCTTTTTTTTTCTCTCTCTCCTTCCCTTTTTCTCCATCATTCGGCACAGTCAACCATTGAGTGGTTTGTTTCCTCCCTCTGCTTGCCACTCTTGGATGAGCCCCACTTGCAGGTCTCCTTTTGTGAACAAACTCAATCATGACGGAAAGTTTTGAGGTATAAAGGTATCAATGATGCGTCCATTACTTCAGATAGGTAGATATTGGAATATTCAGATAATTTCTCCTAAGAAAGAAAAAATAAATGAATTAACATGCGATGTCATCACTACAACAGAGCAACTTGAAATTCAATCAGAAGTGAACCGTAAGGACTACGATTCCGCGTGGATCACGATTTCCCCTCATTCTGTCAACTTTTCCTCCATTTGTCTTTTTTTTTTCTTCTAGGAAGAGTGCAGCTCGTAGGAAAAGGGAAGAGGGGAATGAAAAATGGACTGAGGATCGGTGGAGGGGGGGGAATGGCCCGAGGGGCAAGGGAGAAAGAGAGCCTACTGTCTCGTCTCAATGACACATAATCGTCCTCTTCCCACTCTCTCCGAAAGGAAGAGGACGAAAACCGAGTCAGTCCTTAAGCAAGAGGTACCAATTTATTTCACGGGGAGCCTGGAATTTTGTCTTTGCCAGACGTAAAAAATTCATACCCGCAGGTCGAAAAATGTTTAATTAAACAATATTGGCATTTGATCAATTGTAGATTTCCTCTTTGAAAGATTAAAAAAAAGGACGAAAAGCAATTTTGTCAAATTAAACAATGAAAATAAAATGGCATAGGAAATACCTAGAATTCCAAATGTAAATTTTAAATAGTTCTTCGTTGAAGAATTTCTTTGAGCATGTCAAGGAATGAATGAAAATGAACCCATGACGAGAAGTCGTGAAATGAAAGATCGAAGACGGTAAACTGAACGGAAGGGAAACTCCGAAATGGTGCACTCGGTAGGTGCAAAAGGAAGAAGGAAAGGAGGGCATGAGAATCTCCAACCGAGTCTGGAGGTAAACGGTGGGATATTGCCGCTGGCGGGGAAGCGATCACCGATAATTATCGGCTTAATTGACTAAGTCATCATCACCATCCTGACATCACCATACATTAACATCCAACGCGTGCCCCCTCTTCCTTCTTGTGTTGTTTTTTTCCGCTCTTTACGAAAAAACCCGGAATATAGTATTATGACGGTGAAGAGGATCGGTCTTCATTTTTCTTCTTCGTATAGGTCTGTAACTCGAACCTCACTATGCCAAAGAAGATTTCAGTTAAGGAACCCAAGGAATGCAAGTCCCAAATACGATTATCTTTATTTCATATCTTCAGATCCATGTCTGTCGTCCGTATCCATAGAGGATACGATAGTGGAAGGAATCCCTGTGTGTTTGAAGTTAAGGGGGAGAGGAAGAGAGAAAAAAAAAGGATCAAACGAGGTAATTAATAACGTGAAGGTAATGGAGGAGGGATGTGCATATGGGGCGTTGCGCCCAGTCCGCAGCTGTTCCATCAAAAATAATGACTCCCCTGAAATATAAGTAACAGGCAATTGAACACGCTAATTAGCATCCTCACTCATTACCTTCCACATATACCCATATACCTGCTCTCTTCCAAGGGATCAACCCCATTCCGATCGCATTGCGAAAGCAGTGGATAAAATGTATTTCCGGATTGATAGGGTTGAGAGAGAGAGAGAGAGCAATTATTCGGTCCAGCAGTGGAGCAAAAGTGTTGTTGTTGTTGCATCATCATCGCTTTTTTTCTCCACTTTTCTTTTGCCTCGTCCTACTTTTTTCTTTCCTCCACTTGTTCCTTCGTCCTTGTCCGTCCTTGAACACGGAATCCACAGTTTCGGATGAAAAGTCCTTCCATTCCTGCAGTGCTGGGAGCAATGAAGAATGCCCTTGGGTATCCGTGCGAAAATGCTACATTAAGAAAAATTTGCCCTCAGGATTTTGGTGGAGGTGTACAACTGCATGTAACATTTTGCTGGATTGCTTCTCGCTTTGCAAAAGCCGTATGGAATCTCCTAGACAATTGCAGACATAAATGATAGATAAGCAGACGGGTAATTTAGTTCGAGTGGCTTGCTCCTCCCACTCTGAAACAACCGATCGATGTCTCGGAAGCCCGTTTGTTCTGCCATCGAGTTCGCCGAACAAACGAGCAGGCTTAGCACAACCGACCTAAACACATCTATGTCTCGTCGTTTCAATACGAAATTCTGTTACAGAAACGTTTCCTTTAGAATTTGCATGGTTAAAATGAGCTACTTCGTTGCCATGTATTCGAGAAGTACCAAGTATTCAGGCGCCATGATATGCATACGGACGTAGATGAGGCCACGTAATTGAAGTCCATGATGAGACACAGGGTAGACAAGCCAACAAATGAGTAAGCCGGATGACCGAACTGAATGAGGAAGCAATACAGCGTGACAGGATAACGTCCGGCCATGCACCATGTTCAACACACGGTATCGCAGAAAAAAAAAGGAAATAGCATGGGACAGGGAGTGTCATATAAATGTTGGAATGTTGAGTGGAGCCATGACAACGCCCTATCGACCCTGAATTTCCTGACCAGATCAGCCAAACATTTCAATCGCCCCACAACTTCAACAAAAAAATTCATGCACAAAAAAGAAATAAGAATCTTCAATTTCAAATTTTAACATGTTTACTTTTCAGTATAGCTACGCATTTAAGCAATTATGCTTGCATAAAAATACATTTTATGCATAATTTCCTAAATATTAAAACCCCAAAGAAATACCTAGGCCATACTATTCTTAATTCCATTGAATGAGGTACGAAGGAGGGGCATATGGGCGAACAAGTATAATTGCAGGAGTTTGCGCGAGGGTAGAACCCCTTCAGTCAATATTTACCTCCATTACAAAAAAAGGCCAGACCTGCCTAGTGTCCCACTCCTAGGTATACGAGCATAACTTATGCAATAGCCATTACTGCAGGTTCCCTGAATTATGCCTTCGTGAAGCGGACTTCCGCTTCCGAGCGGCACACACGTACGAATCCAAGTATCACGAAAGCTTCGAAAGTGATTGCTTGAAAATTTCCGTGGCCATTCGCATGCATACCACCCCAAGGCCACATCGCCTCATCTCCGAGGTGAGTTTGCGGCTTAATCTGAATATCTGATCCGTCTTCTGCCTCACCGTATACGGTCCGGGGTTATATTTTGTGGTTATGAAGGAAGAATAAGAAGAAAAGGGGCTGGCGCCTCGGGGGAGGAGGGAATGGTCAAATCAAGCCACATGGCACGTGCTACCTTCAGGAAATGGCAAATTATTTATTGGAAGGGAAAGAAATGATATACGAGACGTTCACTTCCAAAGAAAGTTTTAGAACGATAGGAACCGCCTTTGAGTTTTTTCTTCTTTCTCCTCGTCTTTGCTCTCGCAAAATCGTCGCAAGAGCTATTCATTCCTTTTCTGTTGAATGGATTGCTTCATGCGAGTTCTCACTCAGATCCTGAGAAATGATGTCGATGAGACTCTGTTAGTGTTTATAGAGGTCCTTCTGTGTGAAGGGAGAGAGAAGATAGCAGGAGAGGGATGGGAGTTTGCCATTCATGCCTGGGATGCATTGAAGGCATATCGACGAAACATGCAAAAGAGCCCCGGCGATGAATAATGATCATGACGATCCTGCTATTATGGGCTTCGGAAACAATTTCTCCCCCTCACGTATATACACTGGCTTCCTCATTAATCTTCTCATTATCCCGAGCCATGAGTGCTTTTATTTCGGGGCTTACCCCTCTCCTTCATCATGTTCTATGTCACATGAGGCTGTGGAATAACCAAACCTCGGGTCCATACCTGGATACTCGAAGAGAAGGAGGGAAAAGCTTACCGTTCCTTCCTTCCTTCTGCTGGGGGAGACTTAAAATAATATTCTCTGAAATTGGTTTTTAATTTGGAAGGTAGTTATACGGTCGACGGGGGGTCCTCCATTTTGACCACCCCGGTCGGGGAAAACCGCACGGTGATAAGACACCTTAATAACTGCTGGGATTACCCTACCCCTTGTACTGTACCAGGACTCAACGGTTCTCTTCTTCATCCTGTTCTCGAAATTATCCCTCGAAGATTAAGCCTGATTGGAACGTGGGGAATTATGCCCTGATGACTCCCGTCATTTTCCCCCGTTTACACCTGCTCTCAGCCTGACACGAGCTCAGGCTCATTTCCTCTTTTCAATTGCGTCGTAATTATCACATTCTAATTGCTAAAGTTTCTAATCTACGTCAAAACCTCGTTACATATGACATTTGTTATTTTTTTTAGCTCCGCACGGCTGAGAGAAAGCGATTCGGGAATTTTCCAACACGTTGAGAATGTGGAAGGAATGGACACCCAGAAGAGTGTCTCCATTCACTCCGCTTCTTTGTCTTCGGTAAGCCTTCTGATCCAAGCTGCCAGTCCACCTTTGAGTTAGATTTCCGTCGACATCAGGATTTCGTCCTTCGATCACTCGTAGAATATGACTCTCTTCGCGGTGAAATGCGGCAGGAGTAAACACGAGGACAACAAGGTTGCTGGGATCTTGCACGATTAAGAAATTTTCGTCCGTGAGATTGATGTAGCAAGTCCATTCGACTGTTTAGGTTTGGGGCGATGGACGGTTTTTACCATTCGTTATCCTTTTAAG